CTTTGGAAATACTGGGAGAGTGATTACTCAGTCCAATGGTAGACGTGTTTAGCCTTAGTACTGATTATTGCTTTTTAAATGCTGAGTCTTCTAGGGAGAAAAAAGCAACGCTCTAGATAGACTTTCCTGGAGACCATCCTATAATACCAAGTTGTTTTGAGGATTTTGTAAGTTACTGCTTGAAGTAGGCTACCTCAATTCTATGAACCTCATGGAAAAGAGTTGTTTGTCTCATCTCTTGCCATGAAAACTGAAATTATGCTAGTGACTTTTTATGTGAACTACACTTTTGAAATTTCTCATGCATAAATCCTGAGTTTTTTGGGAATCCCAAAATTCTTAGGTAGTACTTTTAGGCACAGTCATTGCTTATTTAATGAAGATTAGCTGAACTGATTAACAAGAAAATATCTTAAGAACAAGTCTTGCATTTCAGCCCAGAATTACTGGAGCATAGCAGAATTGTTTTTGTAATTGAGTCAGTATAGCTCCTTACTTCAAGACAATGATATAAAAATAAATTTCAAGAGGGAATGTTATGTGTATAAAAATAATAAGAAGCAAAGTAATAGAAGAAAGTAGATCCGTTAAAAGTAGGCATGTGCTGAGTGGCACACACCTGTAATTCCAGCAACTAAGGAGGCTTAGGTAGGAAGATTGCAAAGCCAGCCTTAGCAATTTAGTGAGACTCACCCTCAAAATACAAAATAAAAAGGGTTGGGGAATGTAACTCAGTGGTAGAGCACCCTGGGTTCAATCCCTGGAAACACCCCTCTCCCCTCAAAAAAGAGCTAGATATAACAAGAACTGAGAATCTTTGTCCTAGAGGTAAGCTATAGGACCACTGATTGGAGTGGCTTTCTTCATGGTATCCTGAAAATTAGACTTTTGAGGAAAAGAAGTGGATGCACATTGTTAAAATAGGCAATCCATGTGTATGTAAAATTTAAATACAGCTAAGGAGCTAAGTGAATTTTTTTTCTACCAAATAGCAATTAATAGTTCAGTTCCATTTTCAGATGTGATTCCCTTGTTTATGTTACACACTATCATTCCAAGAACTGAGTTTATGCTAATGCTGACATGAGAACTTGTGTTTTTTTTTTTAATATTTTGCAAAAATGTACCATGATTTATTCAAACTGTCTTTTCTCTATCATTAGGCATTTAGGTTATTTCTAGTTTTTCAACATTGTAAATAACTCTGAAAGATATTTTTGTGGGTGTATTGCCTATGTTTTGGATCATTGCTATTAAACGAGAAATAACTAGTGACTCAATTATTCCTTGCTTTTTTGAGTAAAAATTATATTTTCAAAATACTAGATTTAAATTTTTTGGTTGAATTATACTTTAAAACAAAGATTCTTGTCATTTAAGTTCAATTTTAATATAAAGGTATCAGTGGTTTTCATCTGGGTGTTGATGGGGTATGTATGTTTGTGGTAGATTTTGCTGTCAAGGGACATTTGGCAGTGTTTGGAGAGATTTGGGGTTCACAGTTGGAGAGTTGCCACTGACAAGTACTGGGAAGGACAGGGATGCTGCCTGTTAAACACCATGGAATGCACCAGACAGCCCCCACCACAAAGAAGGACCTAGCCCAGAATGTCAGTAGTGCTGAGGTTGAGAAACCTTGGCCTAGCAGTTTTACTGCTGACGGGAAGCAATCTTGATGTGTCTAGGAGCACTGTTTGTGGGTTTTCTGCTGTAAAAGATGACATTTTTAGCATCAGAACATCAGTAGAGCTGGTTTTGCAATGTATGTGATTCCTGATGAATAACTCAGCTCTCTGCCTTGAGAAGTACCATATCTGTATTAGATGTATTTACTATTGAAGTTTGGTTGTGCTGTGTGTATTAGTTAGAAGACCTGATTTAGCTGTATGGGAAATAAAATAACAGACTTAGCAGGGGTTTATATTTCTCATGAGATGTGATTTTTGGAGATAGGAATTCAGGGCTGCTGCTCTGATTTCCTGATGTCACCAAATCTGACCCTGTTTCTGTTTAGCTTTTCTTGGAATGTGCTGTTGACCTTGTGGTCACAAAGATGCCTCATCCCATCCCTTTACCCTAGGACATCAAAACCCGAATTTCAGGCAGACCTCAATGAGAGGAACAAGGGTCTGCTGAACCAGTTTTTTGTTAATGTTGTTTTGGTTTTTGAGACAGGGTCTTCTGTGTTTCCCAGGCTGGTCTCAAACTTATGGGCTCAAGTGATCCTCCCACCTCAGCCTTCTGAATAGCTGGTACTGAATAGCATCTTTTGTAGCCCAACCTGGTGATCTTGCTTATTCACATTAGCCAGACTTTGTCACAGACTATCCTGTAAGGGAGGCTGGGAAATACAGGTTTTTAGTTGGGTCCATTGTTCATCAGAAAATAAAATCAGAAGCCTTTAGTGAGAAAGAAGGGATAGTGGAATAGGCAGCTAGTGTGCCTTCTAAAGCTTTGATTGAGGTTCCTTATCTTTCCAAGTTCACAGAAATTAAAGAAAGTATGGAGAACAAGTAGGAACACTGGAGGTTTAAACAGTGGACTCACTGTAAGAGTTCTTTTAATTATTAACCTGGGAAAATAAAACATATTTATATTATGATTATTTCTTCAGTCCAAGGACTTAGAACAGGATTTGGCTGTTCCATTGTTTTGTAAATTTTAAATCTCTTCCCCACTGCTATATTTGGAGCCCTTCCTCTTTTATTTATTTATTTTTCAACATTGGTAACCTTTTGTTAGAGGGAACACAGCTAAGTGTGCTTTTCTAGGCGAAGTATAATAATCAGAAACTGACACTTGGGATTCACTGTGGAAAATGGGTGTTTGTGTAAAAGAAGTATTGAAGAAGGGATGGTGTCCTGTCCTGCTTGTCCATTGCTTTGTAGCCCCTCAAAAAATATCTTCCCTAGACAGAATGCAGTGGCATACACTGGAACATGGGAGGCTGAGACAGGAGGATCATGAGTTCAAAGCCAGCCTTAGCAAAAGCAAGGTTCTAAGCAACTCAGTGAGACCCTATCTCTAAATAAAATACAAAATAGGGCTGGGGATGTGACTCAGTGGTTGAGTACTGCTGAGTTCAATCTCTGGTACCCCCGCCCCCCCCGCAAAAAAATATCTTCCCTATACACTAGCAATGACCGGTGGATTTTTAAAAAATTCCATTTGCAATAGCAACAAAGGCTGTAAGTTTTGTCAGAATAAACCTTTAGCATATCTTTACTAAGAAAAATATAAAATGAATTAAAATATCATGAGTTATAACACAATGGAAAGAATAAATAGGGCAACTTGCCTTTCCACAAATTACAAATTTGTAGTAACTAAAATTTGACTCTGTCTCAAGCATAAACATGATTCTGTGAAATAGAATGAGGATCTAGAAACAGACCCCATGCATGTGTGGAAATTGGTTTATGATAGCAAATATTACTGACAAATCCAAAATCAAGTGATATTAAGACAATTAACTTTCCATTTTGAAAGAGTAAAATTAAATTCCAATTGTTACACTTCAGGCTAATAGAGTGTTGTATATCTTACAAGAGTATTCTTATTATTTGTTAACTTACAGAAAAATTAAGTTCAGGTTAAAAATTTGTGTGTCGTGTTCCATCAATAAAAACTTGGAAGAGGAGGAGTTATAAAATGTCAATGAGATTAACCCCAAGAAAGTAGAGGGAAACAAAGTCAAGAACAGAAACAATGAAAAGAAAATAATGGTAAAATAGGTTCAGCAACTATTTTATGGGAAAACTAATGAAAAATTTTTGCAATAAAAATAAAACTTTACTCAATTTGTGTTTGTCTTGGATTTATGGTGTGATTACAGTTTATAGGCATCCTGTTTACACCATGAATCCCATGAATTATTATAAATCATAAAATTTTTTCTCTTCTTTCTCCTCAGTAAAAAAAATTTTTAGTTACCAGGAACTCAAAATTGAGTTTAAGTGCTCCTTGAAGTTACGTTGAAGTTTAACAAAATGTATGCAGAGAATATTTTGACTCTTACTATCGAATTTCTGTACTAGGCCAAAAGGGTAAAGTTATGAACTAGGAAGTTACCTGCCCTGGGGCTCATGGGGTAGATGTTGCAGACGAGAGAGTAAGGAACCCTCCATAACAGTGTCTATCATAAAATGAATAATYTATTTATTTATGCTTAATGTATGAAACTGTCAGCTAACCTAACTTTTAAAATGCCTGTTCTTCTATGTACTAGTATGAGCAAAATCCCAATTTAATTTTTATAGTTGAAGCATACTTTTGTGTGTGTGGGTGGGGGGCTGTGTTTGTTTTCACCTGATGATTCCTGGAATAATGTTCCTTCTGGAAGGTAAAAGCTGGCAGTGCTGGCTTTGCCAGGTGGCTTAGAGGTTAGTGCAGACACACCTCATAGATTGTCTTCCCCAGTGGAATACAGAGAACCTTAAAGATCTAAGCCTCAGGCCTAGTGGTTATTGCTCATCACTTAACCTTAATGGCTCTAGAAGTAAATTTGGGGGTTGTTTCTTCTCTCAAATTAATTGTGTAGCATTAAAATAAAGAAATATATAAGAATTTTAAAGATGAACACTCAAAGAATTTAGCTAGATGTAATAAGATAATTTTAGTAAGAATTCGAGTGTGAGATATCAGATACCTCTGTTGCATTAATTCTGTACATAAAGTGTTTTGCGCTGAATAGAGCCTGTACTAAGCAGTTAGTGGACAGAGAGCACAGGCTGCGGCCTCTGGAGGATCTTGGTTGGTTCTGGGGGCTGCCACTTGCTAGCTGTTTGACCTTTGGCAAATTGTTTAGATCTCACCTATGAAATGGGGAAGAGGATTATTTCTTAGTGTTGTGAAGATTAAGAGAGATGACAGACCATGTGCTTTGCACAATGCTTGGCATACATAGTCCTTAATAAGTGTTATTCTACACTGATTGGGAAAATATGTTTTTCTGTATAAAATTTAAGAGGGATATTAAAATATATTTTTGTTATTTTAAGGAAATTCGAAATGAGTCCCATGACTATCCTCATAGAGTGGCCAAGTTTCCAGAAAACAGAAATCGAAACAGATACAGAGATGTAAGCCCATGTAAGTACTCGTGGGTTTGTGTGCATGTATATGTTTTTTGGATTGTTTTAGGAGGCAGGATATAGTGAAGAGGAGGATTTGGGGTCAGGGATGATAAGTTCAGTAATTTTAAAAATCTACAATAATCCATTTTTCWTTTATTTTTCCCTCCTCTGCTTTCCCTCTCCCTCCTTCCTTCCTTTGCTTGCCTTCTTCCTTTGCCTTCTTCCTTTCCTTCCTTCTTTCCTTCCTTCCTTCCTCTACTAAGGATAGAACCCAGGCCCTTGCATATGCTAGGCAAGTGCTCTACCACTGAGCCACATGCCCAACTATGAATTTACATAATATATATATTTGAAGGCATAGTATAGTAGAAGAAAAAATAATTACCCATAATTATTTTATCCTTCAAACACAATTGCCATTATTTTGGTGTAATTTCTACAACTGTTTTTTTCTTTAAAATAGTCATAATCATTATACATATGTCTATATGATGTATTCATATATATGTTTCATTTTTATATTGTTCCATCACCTTTGTAAATATTGCTTAAAATATTTATTGGTATAATTTTTGTTCCCCCTTTTTTCTAAATACAAAAGTAGTGTGTACTTACCAAAGAAAACTTAGAAAACAGAAAAGTGTAAAGGAAAAAAACTAATTTAAAAACAATAATTTGCGGGTTTATAGTTTTTTAGTATTTTTTTCTGAATAAGCTTATGTGTATCATTTTAAATTCAAAATTAGAATCTTGTGCATACTGATTTATCCCTCTTCCTACTTAGCAGTACATGGTAGACAATCCCCATTACAAGCAGTTGTTCAGTGGTCTGGCTGTACCATTCTGTTTCATAGTCGTTCCCCATTGTCATACCCTTAGATTGTGATGCACGGGTGCACACACGCCATTTTGTCAACGACTACAATTATGGAGTTTTTCAGTAATGAGATGACTTTATTTTTTTGTTCTATTGATACAACTATTTCAGACACTAAATTAGGTTGCCTTCCTACTCAACTTGTTCACTTTTGTTTAATTTTAATGGTATAACCATAGATTTTTTTCTTAGGGCTCATTGTTAGCAAATACTTTTAAAAACATCTGGAATTGGTCTCATTCTGGCTTCTGCTTGTTTCTGGTTCTTCCCCCTAGTTGATTGGGATATGCTGCTGATGTGCCAACCTTCTTGTATAGGCTGAACCACACTGTGTTCAGGGCCACACACTGTACAGCTTCATAAACATTGTGTTCCCTGATTTATAGGAGAGATATTTAACGTCTAGATATACCTCTGAAAATTCATCAGTTATTTGATGGAAAAAACTTTTACTTTAGTTCTTACATGAACAGAATATTTTTCTTTATGTTGACTAAGTACATTTCCATGAGGAATGATTAATTTTGGGCAAATCAATGAGAAATTTATTATAAATTACTTGTAAAATGCCATGTTACTCTTAGATGCATTTTCCTTGCCAGTTAGAAGTGTTTGTGAAGATAAGTAGCTAGAAATGTGGTTTTCCACTTTCTTAGTTGAGTGCACTTGATGATAGATAGACTTCCTCTGAAATCTGTGGTTCACCATGGTGACAGTTCTGGTGTGGGTGTGTGTGTGTATTCAGGGAATGGGGATCTGGGCAGTAATTCTAACACCCTAGGTGTTCCCTCACCCCTCTGAGTCTCTGGTTAAGAATCATCCGAGTTAGAGAGAATAGTTCTCTAGTTAGAGTTTCAGAGAGAGAAGTTTTGAAGGTGATACTTTCCATTTGTACATTTTGCTTTGTTGCCTTTAATTTTTAAAACCCTTTTTATTTTGATGATTGTAAATTTGCATGCCATTGTAAGAAATAATACAGAGAAATCTGGTATTTCCCTTCCCCAGTTTCCCCCATGGTAACGTCTTGCATAACTACAGTACAGTATAACAACTAGGAAAGAGACCTTAATACCATCCATCCAGATTCTCAACCAGTTTTATAGGCACTTGTATGTAGGTGTGCAGTTTCATCATGTGAAAATTCATGTGGTTGCCACCATCCAGGGCAATAGTTGTATCATAAGATCACTTGTGCCGCCCTCCCGTGTCCATAGCTACTGTGCTCTCCTTCTCCTCCCTTAACCCTGGAATTGCCTTTAATTTTATGTGTTTGTTATAATTGCAGTCATTGTGTATGCTAAACTACATTTGAGTCCTTTCATTAGCTTTTGCAAATTAATCTAAATGGAGAAATTTATAAAATTGGAATTGAGACACTTTTTAAAAGGAAGATATTGTAATTTAACTATCAAATATACAAGTAAGTAAAACTCCTTCACTTATCACCTAACTTTTACACATATATTCCTAACTGGCTGTTGGATACTTGCAATTGAAGGCTGCAAGGAGACCTCTGTTTAAAATATGCTAGTCAGTGCTAGATTTGGTGGTGTGCACCTGTAACCCCAGGACTCGAGAGACTGAATCATTAGGATTACAAGTTTGAACTCAGCTTCAGTAACTTAGTGAAATCCTAAGCATTTTAGGAAGACACTGTCTCAAAAAATAAAAAAGGGCTGGGGGTGTGACTTAGTGGTTAACACCTGGGTTAAATCCAAAAACATTGCTTGTCAAGGGCTGAGGTGTAGCTTGGTGGTAGAGAGCTTGCACGGCCAGTGCAAGGCTCTAGGTTCAATCCAGCACTGCAAGAAAAAAAGAAGTGCACATCAGCTTTCCATCCGCTGGTCATTGTACCAGGCTCTGATGCCTGTAGGCTGTTTCAATGAAGAGGAGGGAGCCTTGTGAGGGCCTAGTATTAGGAAGAGGCATTTCTTGCTCAGAGGAGGTGCTCCTCTGTCCCTCTATCTCTGTCCCTCTATCCCCTGCTGCCCTTCCTGCCAACACTTCTAGTCTCTGGAAGCAAACCCTCAGTGAATGTTTTTTCCTTTTTTGCCATGGTTGAAGCCTGGCGCCCTGAGCAAACATCTCATGATCTCTCTTAGGTAAGGGCTGCTTATTCTTGCTTCCCCTGTCACACCAGGATCTCCAGCTCCAGTCCACTGCCCTTTGGTCTGCAAATGAAAAGGATATCCTCAAAGATTTGTGCCATCTGAACATCTGTCAGTACTGCTGTGGCATTCAGCTTTCCTTACTTATGGTGTCTTACTGTCTTGCCAGTCACCCTCTTCTTCTCACCAGTACCACCTTCATCCTGGTGACTTCATGTCTCTGTATAAGCACCATAGACTCCCCAGCCTTAGAGTTCCTACGTCTCTGCAGCTTTCATGACTTTGACCTTCAGTCATCTTCACCCCTGAATTTTTGCCCCCCGTTTTGGGGGATTGAACTCAAGATCTTACACTAGGGAAGTGCTAGTGAAGTGCTGTATAACTGAGTTGTACCCTATCCCTTTTCATTTTAATGAGATGGTTTCCCTGAGTTGCTCATGCTGACCTTAAACTTGTGATCCTCTGCCTCAGTCTCCTGAGTATCTGGAAAAACAGGGGTATACMACTGTGCCCCGCCTACCCCTGAAATCTTAGACTGTGCTACCTTGAGAGCTACTTTCTGTCATTCTGGCTCTTTCATTCTAGTTCTTTGACTTCACTAGGAGTTTTAGTTCATTTATTRTAGCATATTACTTAACTGCCTTGCTGTTTTTATTTTTTTTAAAATCTCTTCAGACCTTTAATTCTATAATCAGTCTTTGGTTTTTCCAGCCTTTGGGCCCATGTGTGCAGACTATCATCTTTCCTTAAGTTTTCAATTTTAAAAGTCAAGAAACAACTTTTCAACTTATATTCTACCACCAGGAAACTTCCTTCCCTCTGTGCTCATCCGTTGCAGAAATCCCTGGTGAAGAGCCTTCCCTCCTCTCGCCCCAGGCTAGTTCTCTGCCTCAATTCCTTGGTCCTCCTTGTGGACCTTACTCTGTCATTACCACTCTTCTTTGTGTACTTCATTCATCCCTTTAGTTACTTTTCTCCTTTATTATCTAGACATGCTCCCGTCCGTGTTATGTCAACCTTCATCTCACTGCATCCCCTTCATTCCCTACGTGGATGCTTGCATGTGTGCACAGGTACACATAGGGTCTTCAGAGAACACTCCCTGCTGTTTGTTTCTCTCTCCTTACCACATGTGCTGCCTTTTGCCCATACTTCTATCTTAGCCTCCCCATTGAAACTTCTGCTCTCAAGTGCTGTTAGCTTTCTAGTTTACAGAGGCAGTGAGGGGCTTCTTACTCTACTTTGACCTGTGACATTATTGACCATGCCTTTCTTCCCTCATACCATATTTTCTTGTATTGTCATCTTCTCTGGCTGTTCACCCATTTTTAGGGCTTCTCTTTCTCAGGTTGCCTTGATTTCTTCAGGCTCTCTCTCTCCTGTCTCCTTCTTCTAGCACTTTTATGAATGATCTCATCTTCCATGGCTTCAGCTTCCGGCTCTGTACCTAGGATTCCCAGTCTCATCTACAGTCTGCTTCTCCCAGCTGCAGACACCTTTGTGCGAGTGTTCCCTCTCTGCTAAGCATCCTTCCTCCACCTCAAACTCAGTGTGAAGATGCTTGGACACTGAGTCAGCCTTCCTCCCCAACAGCCCATCAGCGCACCCTATACCTGTTTGTTCTGCCTTGTTCCCGTGTTTCAAGTGGTACCACCATTTACACTTTTGCTGAAGCCAGAAACAGACTCCTCTTACAACTGCCACATCTGGTTAGTAACTAAGCAATTATATTGCCATTTCTGTGTTGTATTCCAAAGCCGTCCTGTTTTTGTGCATTCTGGCTTGGTTCAGTCCTTCCTGCCCTCTTCCTGGGTTATATAGTAGCCTCTAAATTATTCCTTATCTCCATTTTTTTTCTACTTTAATCCATGCTCAATCGATCTAGTGTAACCTTTACGTAATGCAGTTTGGTTTTTCTACTCCCCTCTCCTATTAGTGTTCYACAGCTTTTAGGAAAAAGTTAAAGTTCTGTAGTACTATCACTCTAAACCTTTTGGGGATTGATGATTTTTATACTTTTGCCACATTTTT